AAACTTTGTAATGTAATAAAATGTGAGCAGGATATTGCTTTGCTGCAAATGGATTTGGATAGATTGGGGGACTGGGCACTAAAATGGCAGATTAAATTTAACGTAGAGAAATGCAAAGTTATGCACTTTGGAGTTAAGAATGCACAAGCAATTTACACCCTTAATGGTAGTGAAATAGGGATAACTACACATGAGAAGGATTTGGGAAGTGGTATAGACAACAAATTAGGCAGCAATATGCAATGTCAATCTGCAGTTGTTAAGGCCAGTAAGGTTTTGTCATGTATAAAAAGGGGCATAAATTCTCAGGATGAAAATATAATTTTACCTCTTTATAAATCGCTGGTAAGACCACACATTGAATATGCTTTGCAATTTTGGCACCTGTTCTAAAGAAAGATATCATGGCATTAGAAAAAGTGCAGAGACGAGCTACAAAATTGATCAAGGGAATGGAGCATTTTAGTTATGAAGAAAGGATAAAAATGTAAATCTCTTTAGTGTGGAAAAACGGCACCTGAGAGGGGATATGAAACAGTATGCAAATATATTAGGGACCAGTACAAACCTTTATCTGGAAATCTATTCATAAACAGGGCTATACATAGGACAAGAGGTCACACATTTAGGCTGGAAGAAAGGAGATTTCATGTAAGACAAAGACAAGGTTTTTTTACAGTAAGAGCAATAAGGATATGTAATTCTCTGCCTAAAGAGGTGGTTTTGTCAGAGTCCATACAGATGTTTAAACTGCAATTGGATAAATACTTGCAAAAACATAACATACAGGGATATAATTTCTAATTAGTGGGGTAATAGCTGCTTGATCCAAAGAGGCATCTGATTGCTATTTTGGGGTTAAGAAGGAATTCTTTCCTAGTTTGTTGCAAAATTGGAAGCTCTTCAGACTAAGTTTTGTGCCTTCTTTTGGATCAACATCAAAAACATATGTGAGGAAGGCTGAACTTGATGGACGCAAGTCTCTTTTCAGCTATGTAACTTTGTATCTATGTAACATAATTTCTGCATTTGAGATAATTTAATTATAAAGTCATTTCTTCACGCTGTTATTTTCATAGACTCATTACACGTATACTTCATTAGATTTTTGCTACTGTCACATTTATTTTACAATAATTACATAGTGTATCCTGGGACTAAGAGCTCTGAAGATATTATACATAAAATCAAAGGTTAGCAGATAGAATACTTGAATAAAACAGTTTATAAGTAGAGATGTCGCGAACCGTTCGCGAACTTTGCGCGAACGGTTTGCCGCGGTTCGCCACGAACCGTTCGCCGCGAACTCCGGTCAGCTGACACAGCCCGGCCAATCTCCAGCAGACCCTCCCTCCCAAACCCTCCCACCTCCTGGACAGCATCCATGTTGAAGCTGCCTTCTTTCTTTGTGATGCTTTGTCAGGCCTTTACTGCAGCTGTCTTCAAATTCTTTGTGGGTCTTTCTGCCTTAAAGGGACACAATAGTAACCAGAACAACGACAGCTTGTAGTTGTTCTGGTGTCTGCTGACAGGCCCAGTAAGCTTTTTAATGTAAACACTGCCTTTTCACTGCAGGCCATCTTGCAAACCAGCTCATCTAAGTCATGTGATCAGTTGTCATCCAAATCACATGATTCAGACTGGCTACAGAAGGACTGCATGAGTTTCCAGGCAGTTCCCCAATTGGTTCCTTCAAGAAGGGTAAGTATAAAGGCTGCAAGCAGGACTTGATTGCTAGGACGTGCCATACTGCCTTAACAGCGTTAAAGCTCTCTTTTTGAAAGACAGCAAAGTTTGCCCTAATGTCGGAAAGGAGTTTAAGGATTTTTATAGTTTCAATCAATACATTTTAATCAATAAGCATTAAAATTTTCAATTAAGTGGCAGCCATTTTTCATTTATAGCTCCCTTCAAAAATCATTTAAATGTGGGACTTATTATGAATGTCTTTTTTGCTCTTTCATCAGATGATTCCAAGACAAAACCAGTCAGCTAATCCAGAATTCTTCCTCCTTGGGTTCCAGCTTCAACGCACCTCTAGAATAATTTTCTTCGCTGGTGTCCTCATAGTGTTTATGATGACAATAACTGGAAATCTTCTAATGATAATGCTGGTTTCTACTACTCGATCTCTTAGGTCTCCCATGTACTTCTTGCTCAGCCACTTGTCCTTTTGTGATATAATACTTAGTATGTCTATTACCCCAAATTTATTATATGTCACCTTACAAGATGGTAGCCCCATGACAGTTAGTGGGTGTATTACTCAGCTATATTTCTATAGCTTGTCTTTAGGTACAGAATGTCTTCTTCTGACCATGATGTCCTATGATAGATATGTGGCTGTCTGTAAACCATTGCATTATGTAACGGTAATGAATTTCCCATTTTGTCTTGGACTAGTTGTGTTGTCTTGGACATTGGGTTTAAGTCTCTCAATGATGCTTAATATTTTCTTGTGTCATTTACAATTTTGCATTTCAAATACTATTGACCATTTCTTCTGTGATTATGCTCCATTCTTTCAGGTTTCTTGTTCTGATACAACAATTGCACAAACTATGATATTTATAATATCTATTCCAGAAATTGCAATTGAAACTATGTTTATCATTTCTACTTATGTTTGTATCTTTCGCGCTATACATAGAATATCATCCACCACTGGGAGACAGAAAGCCTTCTCCACATGCAGTTCCCACCTCACTGCCGTGTGCATGTATTACGGGACTCTAGGTGCTATCTATGTATTTCCATCAGGAGAACAGTCATTTAATATGAATAAGATTGTGTCCCTTATGTACACAGTTGTGACCCCTTTATTGAATCCTTTAATATACAGTCTGAGGAACCGAGAAATCAAGGCATCTTTAAAAAACTACTTGGGGAAAAAAAAGTAGAAGTTTAATATATTTTTCATTTTTTCTAAAGATCCGGGATTTTTAGTAGTCTGGCTCATGGTATTGGATAGTAGAGCAGATGTACAGCTTCAGGGTCATCATTTGCCTGCAGTTAAGCCTCCAAGAAACAATAATATCAGATGCCCCAGACGTGGCCTATATTTATCAAAGGAATCCACCATCATCACTTGTGCAACACCAAGATTACGCATATATCATGAGTGTTACTAGAAACCACAGAGCAACAATGAAAGAATCAATGACAGGCTTCCTCCGTGACCAAGGTCTTGTGATTGTGTGTGTGTGTTGGGGGGGTGGGATGGCAAAGGTGATGTGTTAGATTGGCCGAGTGTGATATTGGTGAGGTTTGACAGAGTGGGATGTGTGTGAAATTTCCTTGTGGTGAGTATGAGAGAGGATGTATTGAAGACCCCCACTAATTATTTAATAAAACATAAAAAAAAAGTAGTTTGTATCCATTTTGGCAGGGATTGGCGTACAATCCATTACTTTCTAGTGACCAAGCTTGCTGCAGCATACTAGAGTAAATAAATAGTCAGTGAATTAGTCAAGGGTGTTGTCATGGAAACCAGGCAGCAGCACTTTGACTAATTTACTGAATCTCAGGAACACAGATGGAGCATTTCTGAACTGGTCTGCACCAGGCAGAGCTGCAGACCACAAGCTCCCTTGAAGGATTTGACTGTTATTCAATATATTGCCGTAGAGACCTTACAGGTGGAACTCCAGGGAACTGTCACAGAACCTGGTAGTTCCGCCATTAACATACATTAATTAGTTAATTTGGAGTCTTGGTGGTAGCCAGTAAACATAGTGATAGGATTGGAACAATCTCCTTAGAGAATATAATTATGAGAGCTTGGGATCTTCTTGCTGCAACTTGTAAAATTGGCAGTTGTTAAACAGCCACTACTTTCAAAAGTAGCATCAGGTGCTATAGTAAGTAGTGACTGTTGGTAAAAAGCAGCAACACGTGTTAACAGTTTCAGGTAAGAGGGGATCCTCAGCAAGTTATAAGTCAGCCACCTACCAGAAGGCATTGTGGGAAAGGATAGGAAGACGTTTGACTGGATCTCAAAGTGTCCAGGCTTAATGTTTGGGATAGAAATCATATGCATTAAAACACATTGCAACAGGTTACAAAAGGCTCCTCCCTCTGTAGCTCTCCCTCTTTCTTTGCTGCTCCTGCTGGCACAGGTCTGAAAGGCTAAACTGATTCGATCCCTTCTGGTCACGGTTCTCCAACCCTCGATTGTCACCTGAGCTCAGGGAAGAATTATGGAAGCAGAATAACGAGACAGACACAAGATTGCTTTCCAAAAGTCTTCTGACAATGTATTCAAAATGCTCTGTACTTATACAATATTTGTCACGAACATTGGTTACGGAAAGTTACACAAGATACATAAAAGAGGAAATTACGTTCAATAATCTATTCTTACAAAATATCACATATACATTGTGGTTAAGCATATCCTGATACATAGAAACTGTCATAGCTTGTGACTTCCTTTCAGTTATGTTTTGTAGGTGGTTCTGCAAAAGAGTTTGCTACTACATTTACAAAATAATTCAACTTATACAATACTAACAGATTAACTGTTTCAATTCTTTCAAGGTCAAAGTATTCTGTTCCTTCATATCTTATTCTTATACACTTGTTTGATTTACTATCTATAACTGATACTGTTTATAGCTTTTATTGTATGTGTTGTATCTCTTCCCTTCTACCCCTGCATATTCTTTATCTTTCTTCTCCCACCCTACCTCTGGTTTTACTATTTATCCTGGGCTCTTCAGGTCTGGACTGCCACAGCCAGCTAGCCCTTAGATCTGCTACCTTTGTTAATGCATTGTGGCTGCCATTGCCACAACTGAGCCATATTATTTGTTTTATGCCAAGTGATTTAAGGGTCTGTCTGGTGCGGTGGCAGCATCGGCAGCACAGCAGTATAGGATCATACACACTCTGCGAGTTCGAAACCCAGCAGAGGTCACTTGAGATATCCCAACAAATAAATTTCAATGTGTGGAAATAAACATAGGTACAGTGCCAGTAAAACAAAAATATAAAAATACAAATATGCCTATCCCACGCATGCTTAAACTCCTTTACAAATACCATATTGGTAAAATAAAATAAATGTGTACACAGAGATATAAATTATTTAACACAGTAAAGGAGTTTAAGCATGCGTGGGATAGGCATAAGGCTATCCTAACTATAAGATAAAGCCAGGGACAAATGAAAGTATTTAGAAAATTCTGCAGACTAAGATGGGCCGAATTGTTCTTATCTGCTGTCACATTCTATGTTTCTATGAGTGCGGGGCAGACGAGACAGCGATTTCACGGTCTCCCCATCCGACATTTTGTTGCAAATGGTAGCCATCTTGGATCTCGCAAGATTCTCGTCGGCCATTTTAGGTTGATCAGATCGTGATTCACACAATCTGATACATTTTGCATATCAGAACCTACTGACTTGTCCTGTAACCCATACAGTAACACACTATTCTGGTAAAGGACACTACAGGAATCCACCTCAACATAACTGGATACTAGTTTGCTACAACAATATTGGGACATTTTGGGACTTCAAAGAAGAGGATTTATTATTAATATATACAACGTTTGGAATGTCATAGAGAGATTCAATGTTCCCAGAAAATATTATACATTTATAGAAAACTATTTAGAGGCTAAGATTCTATTAAAGGCCAATAGGCCCAAAGTTATAGGTAGGTATTTAGTATAGTATATAATATATTTTGTATTTATGGTATATTTAATATAGAGTTTAGAGCTTCTAATTAGGGACACAATCACAATTGATGGGACTTAACGATCACATAAAGTCACAGAAGAATTAGAATAGAGAATATAGGACAAAAATAACAGATATATAAAAAGAAGTATATCTGAAGGATATGAAAATAAATATTAGGTAGTTGTCCTTGGGTTCCTAAATATGCCACAGCTATAAATACAAGGTCATAATTTCAATCGTATATATACATACAAAAAGCTGGACACATTATACACCACAAAGGGTTTATCTACTTAGTCAACTAGTAAATTAATCAGGATATATGCTCTAAAAAATATATATCAATTCCAATTAAGGACCTCAAAATCACAGGAATATAGAGTAGACGATATTTTCATTCAGTCCTTTAGGTGTCACAGTATCTAGACGGTGTATCCAACAGGCTTCTCTTTGTAGCAACATTTTAGACCGATCACCTCCTCTCTGAAGCATGGGTATATGGTCAATCGCAGTAAAGCGTAAGGTCGGTAATCGGTGGCCATAGTCCAAAAAATGTTTGGCCACTGGTTTATCACTCACCTTGTCCCGAAATGCAGTGGTAATGGTAGATCGATGGCCTCGTGTCCAATCTCTGAGGGTCAAGTTGGTTTTTCCCACATAGGATAAGCCACAGGGGCATGTAATCATATAGATCACATGGTCAGTGGTACATGTAATATATTGAGTAATATTTATTCTTTGTCCATTATGTGGATGGGCAAATGAAGTTCCACTGACCATGTGACTACAGGTGACACAGCCACTGCATTTGAAGCATCCCTTTTTGATAACTTTTTGGGGTATTTGGTAGCAATGTCTAGGATCATTTTTTACAAGTAGATCTCTGAGATTTTTATTTCTCTTGTAACTGAGTACAGGTCGATTTTGGAAGGACTTAGGCAATTGTTTGTCAGCTTGTAGTAATCCCCAGTGTTTGTTAATAGAATTTCTAATAGCTGATATACCAGTATGGTATGTGATTGGGATGTATATTTTAGGTATAGGTGTTCCTTTAGTGTTCTTTTCAATACTTTTAGATTCCCATATTTCTTTCACTCATATCTTGGCTGTATTTAAAGTCTGAGTCATGTAACCTCTTGACCTAAACCTATTCCACATTTCTTGGAGCTGTTTTTCACGGTGTTCCATAGTAGTATTGTATCTATACACTCTCAGGAATTGGGATATAGGTAAAGAGGATTTGAAACTTTTTTTAAGGTATTACGTTCCATCTTTTTATGGTATTGTGTAAATTCCAATTTTCCATCTTGTTTAAAGATAGTCACATCGAGGAACTGGATAGACTGTATATCATGATTCATCGTAAGTTTAACTGTCGTAGGAGCTTGGTTGATTTCCAAAATCATTTGTTCCAGTTCCATGATGGTGCCAGTCCAGATGAGGAAGATGTCATCCACAAAGCGGTGGTAATGTCTGATCCGGTCTCCATATTTTGTTATAATCTGTTGGGTTTCAAAAACAGACATGAAGGCATTGGCATAGGATGGTGCCATAGCCGCTCCCATAGCTGTCCCAGAAAGTTGAAGAAAGAAGTTGTTTTCGAATTTAAAGTAATTACAGGATAGAGCAATATGTAGGAATTCCAACAAAAATTCTATAGGTGGTCCCAAATATAATGTGGAGGAACTGAGAATCTCTCGTAGAGCCTGTACACCACCATGATGAGGTATGATCGTGTACAGGCTCTGAACATCAAGGGCCACCAGTATGGAGGCATCATCTATATTAGGATTTAGATTAATATTCTGGATGAAATCCTGTGTATCACGAAGACAGGTGGGGAGTGCCATTATACTGTTCTTAATGTAGTAATCAATATACTTTGTAATAGGTTCCAGTATACCCTCATTGGCTGACACGATAGGCCTGCCAGGTGGATTCTTTGGGTCCTTGTGAATTTTGGGTAACATATATAATACTGGATGTTTTGGGTATTCAACAAATAGGCCAATTTTTCATCTAGGTATCCATTTTGTAATCCCAACTCAATGTGATTCTTAATTCTTGTCTGGAATTTTTTCACAGGATCGAATGTGAGTTTAGTATATGTGTCACCATCTTCCAGTTGTCGTAGTATCTCTTGTCCGTAGTTTTGGTATGATTGGATAACTATTGCTCCTCCCTTTGTCTGCCGGATGGATAACAATTGTCGGATCTTGACTGAGGTCCTTTAAGGCTAATTTCTCTCCCTTAGTCAAATTAGGGTAATGTTTAGGAGGATTAAGGATCATTTTGTCTATATCCGTCTTAACTGTTTGAATAAAGGTTTTAATGGAAGAATTTGATGTTCGAATGTCCTTATTATATCTTTTAAAAAAAGGATGTGATGATGTCTGTGCAATGGCTCTTCTAATTTCATTACTGTATAAAGTCCGTTGTGTCTTATACATTTCAATTTCCATTTGGAAAGGATCCGGTCTCGAAACAGGAACATAGGATAGCCCTTTATTCAACAAGGAGTAGTGGTCAGAGTCCAGGACTTTGTCTGATAGATTAAAGACAGTTGTCATTTCCTCATTCTGGGTGGTCTCCCACTGGGATTTGTATTTTTTCCAGTTGCTCCGCCCTCTTCGTAATGGGCGGTTCTTTTTGCGCCTCGGGTACCAACTCGAGGTATGTCTGGGGGTTCCCCTCGTTGAGAGTCCCTCACTAAAAAAGTATCATTCAATTGTATTCTCTGGTCTCCCCTAGAGTCAGGGTCAGAGGTAGAGTCACCAGAACTGGCATCAACTGTTTGAAAGGATGGTTTACGAATTTTAGTTCTGAATCTTGTATTTGGCCTGTAGTTGTCATGTGAGCCTCCCAACCATCTGTACACTTGATGATATTTATAGTCATTATTAACTTTTTCCAATTTTTGTTTTTTAAAACGGATGAGCTCATTTTTATATTTAGTAAGTTCGTCTTGCAGTTTAAGTATCTGGACGGTTGTGTTAGAGGCATGTAGCAGGGCAGTATTTGTTGTTTCCATGGTCTGTATGGATTAGTTCACAAAAATAAGTTCCCTTCCAACCTCTTCAACGACTATCACCATCCAGTCTAAAGAACATTTATTTGAAATTTGCATCAATTTTTTACAAAAATCTGGATTCTGTCGTCCTATCGTGGGGCCATTTCTGACCCTAAAGCCTCTGGGTATCCTCTTTGCTCTATGGTAGTCAGATATAAAGACACCATGTAGATCTAAATCAATTTCTCTTTTCTTTAATTTTAGCAAGTCATTGTACAAGTCCTGGATAGTGTTAGTATGTGAAAGATCCTCTTGGGTTTGTGGCCATAGAATAGCATTAGCCTGTTCATCAGCTATAGTTAAAGTTTCTGCAGATTCTAGGAGAGCTCCTGACTTAGCTAGAAAATCTTCCATGGCAGCCACACAAATTCATATGAGGAAGAGTAAATCATTGTTAAGTGGATATTCCATGAGGGGGTGCGCAAGTAGGTGCAGCAAACACCCAATATTATTATAATATATGTATAATGGCACTCACCCTTACTGGTATACTGAAAGTCCAATGCCCTGGTGCTATCCCACGCTGAAGTAATATACAATATATAGATAGAAAGGGTGCACTCTCCGGTCTTTTAAATATTTCAAAATTATTTATTTCGTTACATAGTGTAACACATTGATCGACGTTTCGACCCATTCGGGTCTTCCTCACGTTTCTATAATTGTATAATATTTTCTGGGAACATTGAATCTCTCTATGACATTCCAAACGTTGTTTTAACTTTAATTCTCCACACTTCCATGAATTGATGGATATAGATTGTTTTTATTTACACATACCTAATTATTGTATGTTATTTTCATTAATATTTACTACACAAGTCACATTCACTTGAATCTATGTGATTCTATTGGATTTTCAGATCATTGATAGTTCACTCATATGTTATCAAATAATTCCATAGCACTAGTACATTTTGGAATTTTGTAAAATAGACAGTATACTAAACACACATATTCACTTTTTAGCAACCACGTTCCCTATTATAGGGTTTCTATATGCCGGAGATGAGATTTGTATAGCCGGTCTTACACTAACTATTGACACTGGTTTCCTAGCAACTACGCACGTGGTTATGTCACCACGTGAATCACGTGGTGCCCGCCGGACACTTCCGGGTTTCGAACAGGGGTAGGAGGGTCACAATCACTATTGGTGAGTACAACATATAATTTTTCTTATATAAAGCATGTTCTTAGTAATATGTATTTGATCTTGAGGAAGACCCTAACAGGTCGAAACGTCGATCAATGTGTTACACTATGTAACAAAATAAATAATTTTGAAATATTTAAAAGACCGGAGAGTGCACCCTTTCTATCTATATATTGTATATTAATTCAGAGTGGGATAGCACCAGGGCATTGGACTTTCAGTATACCAGTAAGGGTGAGTGCCATTTTTTTATATATCTTTTATGAATTGTGAGGGTGTAGATATATGTACATGTGTCCATTATGTAGAGATGCACTTTCCACATAAATTAAGATTTCTTATAAATGTTAAATTTTTCATATATATAAAGTAAGTGGTTAATGGATATATGTGCATGTTTTTGCACCCACAGATTGCATTATAAAACATATTGTAATTTTTTATGACAATGTGGTGCCATCCAGAGTTTTTCAATAGTATTCCCCCCCCCCGTTCATCCATCCACCCATACACCCATCCACCCATACACTATGTAGTGTGTGTTTTATATATATATATATATATATATATATATATATATATAGATATACACACACACACACACACATATCTCTCTCTATCTATATATATTATTGGTATATTTCTTTTTCTAATTCAAAATATTAGTCCTTTCAGGGTAATTTAATCATACAGTAAAGCATACTCACATGCAGACAATCTTACTGATGCACACAAATAGGCTCATTGACACACAAATAAGGTTACTGGTACACAAAATATTAGTCCTTTCAGGGTAATTAAATCATACAGTAAAGCATACTCACATGCAGACAATCTTACTGATGCACACAAATAGGCTCATTGACACACAAATAAGGTTACTGGTACACACACAGATTTAGTACAGACAAACTCTGATATACACACAAGCTTACTACAGACAAGCTCACTGATGCGCACACACTCTCCCTACAGACAAGTCCATTGACACACACATGCTCCCTACAGAAAAGCTCACTAACACACATGCTCACTACAGACAAGCTCACTGTACACACACAGGGCTGGCCTTAGGTGTTTAGGCACCCTGTGTGAGCCAATCTTGTGGTGCCCTCACCTTCCCCCAGTCACCTAGACATACACAAAGAGGAAAAAAACCTTTGTAAAATTGTTTTGTTTTAATTACAGATAGTTTGGGTGCAAGTGAAAACAATTACAATAATAAATAACTGGATAGGCTGGTAACAATAATGTACATTAAGGGGGCACTATAGTCATCAAAACAACGTTATCTTAATGAAGCAGTTCAGGTGTATAGAGCATGTCCCTGCTGTGTCACTGCTCAATTCTCTCCCATTTAAGTGTTAAATTGTAGATTATGCTAACGTAGTGTATCTATAATCTTAATTTTAGTAATGACAGGAGGCGAGTATTTTGCATAATTTTCTTTACTTATGCCTCCAGCAGCACAAGATAATCAATCAAAACGTTTAATCAATCATAGGCCAGCATAGCCTGTATATAAGTCCTTGTTGGGCGTGTCTATTCCTCTTTCTTTGGTGTTGTAAGTCCTGTAACGTCAGGGATATGATGAATTTTCCAAACTTGAACATTGGTAACTTGAACCATCGTAACTTGGCTTGTGGCTTGAAGGGGTCCTTTCAGCCCGACTTCCGAATCCTTTTATGCTGAAAAAGATAGAAATAGGTGAAAGGTGGTGGAATTGAACTGTTATCCACATGTAAGCTTAGCGATCTATCTCTTAATTATTCAATATATTCTCCAATTGACTTACTATGGAGATACCTATTGTGTCTCCTAAGTGCTACCAAGTTCCTTTCTGTCTACGATACCGACTAAATTACTATGCAGGTCATTGTCCCCAATGCGAAACTATAAACGTGTATTAATAATAATAAACTGTCATCAATAGAAGTCCTCTTTATACCAATAATAATGTAATTGTGCAATGAAGCATTGTACTTATGTTGGAAGGCTGCGAGAGTATAGGGAGGGTCAACCCAAACTCTATGGAGGGGGGAACTACTCGCCTCCTATCATTACTAAAATTAAGATTATAGGTACACTACGTTAGCATAATCTACAATTTTACAACATGACAGGAGGCTTCCTATTTTGCATTTTTAATGCTGCGGTAACAACGAAAAAGATGCGTGTGATGTTTGTCGGAAGTAGAAAACCCTGAAGGTATTTTCTCTAGTCCAGTCCGCTGAGCGCAAAATATCCTTTAACGATGCTCCCACCGAAAAGGCCCGTGAGGCCGCCACCCCGCGTACCGAGTGGGCCCCGAAATTCGACTCGACCCCTGCCATGGTTAAGAGCCAACGTATCCATCTAGCCAACTTGGTTGTAGTTACCGGTTTGTATGGTTTGGTATACGATACCAGCAGTTGGCCTGATCGGGAAAAACGAAGAGACTGAGTTACTTCTACGTACCGTATAAGCGTTTTCACGACGCATAACCAAGGAACCGTTGGAAAAAAGGGGTAGGACACGGATGTAGAGTCCGTCTTGGTCCTGCAAAATACCGTGAAGGTAACTCCATCTGGTGTTATAGTAAAACTGTCCACGTCGAAAGCTCTAACGTCTGAGACTCTTCGAAACGAAACTAAGCATAGTAGAAGTGTCAGTTTAGCTGTTATTTGTCTTAAAGACGATGCCTCGTTGTCCGGCCAGTTTTGAAGGAATCGAATGACCAGATCTACATCCCATAGCCTGTTATACTTTGGGGCCGGAGGTCTGGATAGTTTGATGCCCCGAAGTAGCCGGCATATCAAAACGTTCTGACCTATATGTGTTCCGTCTATCGGAGTGTGAGCTGCCGAGATGGCGGATCGAGTAATATTAATAGAACGATATGCTCTCCCTTCGGTGAATAAGTTGGACAGAAAATTTAGAATGTAGGAAATAGGTGCTGTAAAGGGATTGAGGTCCCTTTCCATGCACCAGCGATTCCATGTATTCCATGCTGATATGTAGCTGCGTCTAGTGCCAGGTGCCCATGAGTCCCATAGTAGGTCTCTAGTTGTCTGCGATAGGCCTGCGACGCTCCAGGATCCCCGGAAAGACTCCAGGCCACTAGTTCCAACCATTCCTGTGTTATTAGTGGGTGAGGTTCCCCTTCTGGATTCGTTAGGAGAAGTGGGAACACTGGTAAGACTAGTGGATGCTCCTGCGAGAGTGCTAGTAGGTCTGGAAACCATGCTTGGCTCTTCCACAATGGTGTGATCAGTATCAGCGATGTCCTTGCTCCGTGTAGGTGGTGGAGGACTCTTGCCAGCATTGAGAACGGTGGGAATGCGTACGCCCCTGTCGGTGGCCATTGTTGTAAGAATGCGTCCACCGCTTCGCTCTGTGGGTCCGGGAGCCAACTGTAGAACCTCGGTAGTTGTGTGTTCGTCCGTGATGCGAAGAGGTCTATGTATAGGGGACCTCTTAGCGTTCTCACCCTGTGGAAGATAGCGTTGTCTAGGCGCCAGTCGCTGCTGTCCCTCCAATGTCGAGAGAACCAGTCCGCCGTGAGGTTGTTGACTCCAGGTAGGTATTCTGCCTTGATCGTGATGTTGCGGGGAAGGCAAAACCGATAGATGTCCTTCGTCGCTTCTGTCAGGGCTCGTGATCTGGCTCCGCCCAGATGGTTTATGTATTGGACTGCTGATATGTTGTCCATGCATAAAAGTATGCAGCAGTTGGACATGTGTTTGGCCAGGCTGCATATCGCAAAGGAGCCCGCTATCAACTCTAGGCAATTGATGTGTAGGAGTTTTTCTTCCTCTGACCATGG